TTGTAGTGTAGGTTGTACTCCCATAATCCCATTTAGAAGCAACCTTGTGGCTTGGATATTCTAATACGGCCGGTTCGGTGGCCACTGGATTTCAGTAGCCACGGAAGTCACTGTCCCCCTACAGAGCTCCGTTCATAAAATTGATGATTCATACTCCCAAATTCCCTCGATAAAGTCTCCCGCCAAGTCCCGACCCCAAATCACCCCCCACCTACGTCAATTGCATCCCGTAAGTATAATTGATTTTAAAGTAAAAATTTTTTGACTCCAAAGTCAACTAAACTTGCACCCCACAATTGACGTGGTTAGGGGGATGAGTTGGGATCGGGATCATGTAGGGGGGTTTACCGGGGGGGTTAGAGGAGGTAGGAACTATCAATTTTGCGAACGAAGCACTGTATGTGTCCCAATTAGGTGAGTGGCTTCCGTAGCCACTTTTTTGAGTGTCTCTAGAACCTAGCCAATTCTCGGCCCGGTTCGGTGGCCACTGGATTTCAGTGGCCACGGAAGCCACTGGATTTCAGTGGCCACGGAAGCCACTGGATTTCAGTGGCCACGGAAGCCACTGCCCCCCTACAAAGCTCTGTTCATAAAATTGATGATTCCTACCCCCCAAACCCCCTCGATAAAGTCTCCCGCCAAGTCCCGACCCCAAATCATCCCCCCACTTTCGCCAATTGCACCCCGTAAGTATAATTGACTTTAAAGTCAAAAATTTTGACTCCAAAGTCAACTAAACTTGCACCCCGCAATTGACGTGGTTAGGGGGATGAGTTGGGATCGGGATCGGGTAGGGGGGTTTACCAGGGGGTAGAGAGGGTAGGAACTATCAATTTTGCGAACGAAGCACTGTAGGTGTCCCAATTAGGTGAGTGGCTTCCGTGACCACTTTTTTTGAGTGTCTTTAGAAGTGACTAGAACCTAGCCGATTTTCGGCCCGGTTCGGTGGCCATTGGATTTCAGTGGCCACGGAAGCCACTGCCCCCTTACAGAGCTCCGTTCATAAAATTGATGATTCATACCCCCAAACCCCCTCGATAAAGTCTCCCGCCAAGTCCCGACCCCAAATCATCCCCCCACCTACGTCAATTGCACCCCGTAAGTATAATTGACTTTAAAGTCAAAAATTTTGACTCCAAAGTCAACTAAACTTGCACCCCGCAATTGACGTGGTTAGGGGGATGAGTTGGGATCGGGATCGGGTAGGGGGGTTTACCAGGGGGTAGAGGGGGTAGGAACTATCAATTTTGCGAACGAAGCACTGTAGGTGTCCCAATTAGGTGAGTGGCTTCCGTAGCCACTTTTTTGAGTGTCTCTAGAACATAGCCGATTCTAATATTAGTCCATCTGTCCTCTTATAATATTTCAAACTTCCTTCGTCTACAAATAAACTTTTCGTTTCGCGTTACGATGTTTGACTGAAGTTATTTTCAAATCATTTTATATGAAAAATGGTGTAAACTTTAAAAATAGAAATTACATACTGTATTTAAAAACTATATCAAAAGATCTACAAAAATAGAGGTGACATGCTTATATTATTTTATTAAATGAGTGACGAAAATAGGCCAACAAAGTAAATAAAATTTGACCATGTGAATAGTAAACGAGAAATTTGTTTGTGGACGGAGGAAGTATTTTTTTTCATTTTTAATACAAAAAATTCATTTTTTATTGGTTTTTTGAAACATTTTTTGTTGTTTAATTCTTTCTCTATGTAACATTTCTTAATCCTCGTGTCCAAACAATTGTGGAACAAAGGTAGTAAAATTTAAAATAACTACTCCGTAGTTCTTTTGCGATTGGTATTTGACACTCCTACGATGCATTGATCGATCCAAAAGTGATGGATTATAATGACTAGTGTTATTCATTGAGTTTTTTGAAGTTATTGTCCACTTTTAAATTTTATGGTCAAAATTGACAGACAATAATCTCAAATTAAATAAGAGTGGTATAAAATATTGATAAAAGTATAATTTATTAGATTTATTTTATACGGAGTAAAATATTATTTTATCTAATATATATTTTGTTTAGTAATAGGTTAAAACTTAAAATAATTGAATAAAAAAATCAAAACTAAAAGCTAATAGTCACTAGTATATTTGAAATGTTTTAAGAGAGCTCAATATTTACTCATATTCCCTCCGTACCACTTTAGATTACAATATTTTCTTTTAGTTGAAATTAAGGAAGAGTCAAATCAATTTTTTTCCCCAAATTACCCCCCAAATCCCCCCAAATAGTGTGAATAGTGGCTGGCAGAAAAGAAAAGGAAGGGTAAAAGAGTCAAATCACTATAAATTTATTGACTTTATAATCCTTTTTAGGACAAAAATGTAAGGAAATATTGTAATCTATTTCGAGAGAGAGAGTAGTATTTTTAATTTTTATAATGCTAAAGTGACGTGGTGTTGCCATGTGGAATATGACGCGGCGTGATGTGGAAGGGTAATTAACTAGCTCATGTAACGTGGCTTGTATTCGCTTGCCGTTTCTTCTTCTTCTTCTTCCTTTAGGAGTCTGGACTCTGTCTGGAGAAGGGAAAAACGAGAAAGCTTAAAATCACCATCTCTGAAGCTGCCGCCGAGATCGTTCATCCAGCATTATCTCTTGTCCTCGATGATATCACGGCAGGGACGATTCTTTGTTTTGTTTCCTTTAATTTGTATAAAATTGCTGTTTTTTTAGCGTGATCTAATCGAGCATCTTTCTGATTCAATTCTGTATTTCACTTTAGTAAAAGATCATGCTTCCCAATTTCCATGGTTGAAACTGTTCGCAGAATCTCTGGTTGCAAAGATTGCAGATGCGAGCATAAATCTACCCAGAAAAAAAGCTAGGGTTACACCAAGTTTATACCCCAAATTGCACCCCCAAGTGTACCACAGAAACACATAAACAAAAATTGTCTGTGCACCGCATCTACCTATCACCTCTATAGTCTGATAAAATATGTTAGCATATGAGCAAATGCTTAGTAATCTGCAAAGTTTTTTTATTGAATCTGAAGTGAAATGTAGCTATTGCGCTTGCAACCTTCCAAGCGTTTCGGAATTTCAGGCGCTCTTCTTCTTCTTCTTCTTCTAGCTGTTCTCTTCCCTCGATTCCAAACATCAAATTTCTATCTGCGAGGCAAACGAAAAGGCCGGAGCTTCATTTCTTCGTTCAATCTTGATTTGAGGTTCTCCAGTTTCTTTTATTTTAGTTCCTTTCATATGGGTATGGGTGATCAAATACTTTTTAGTTGATTTATTTGGTCAGTTTTGCCTTCATTTTTGTTTTTTCTGGCTGATTTGCTGCATATAGTTAGATCTGTTATTTCGGGAACTCCATTGATGATTTACTGAGAGTATAATTTTGGAGAAGAGTAGTAGGACCCATTATACTGGTGAGGAAATTAGTACCGGGTAGAGATTTTAATTAGGCCGAAGGGTATGGCTCCTGTCTCCCAAACATCAAATTTTGATCGGCAAGACAAACAAAAAGGCCAGTGCTTTGCTTCTCAATTCATTCTTGATTTGAAGTTCTTCAATTTTTTTCTTAGTATCTTTCCTATGGGTACGGGTGATCAAATACGGAGTAATTTTTAGTTAATTTCTTTGGTCAATTTTGATTTCGTTTTTTTCTAGCTGATTTACTGTATATAGATAAATATGCTATTACTGGCTGATTTTTTGTATATAGATAGATAGATAGATATGCTATTTCTTTGGTTAATAAACTTAACTTTGCTTCTTATGTGAGAGAGTCTACAAAAAATTGTGTGGACCTTAGATCCACCTTAGAAGCACTCCACTAACAATTGTTTATTATTTATGATGCATCCTTCAATTTTTAGATGCCCATGTAGTTGTATTGTTTAGTTATTTAATAAAAGAATTTCATTTATGTTGGGGTATGTTCTTCAAAGCCACTAAGAAGAAGAAATTCTTGGTTGTAGGATTTTCAATGATGCTTCTTGAAATGCTGAGCAAGTGAAAAGTACAAAGTTATGCCCAAATTCTGCATTTAGTACTCCTTTTATTATACGCTTTTTGAACATTGCCAAGCGCACCAAAGATATATGCTTTAGTCTTGACATAAATTACATAATATCTGATGTATAACAATACCAAATACTCCGTAATTTCTATGACCCTATTACAGCTAAATTACCTTTAATGTGCTTATTACATGGTTAACTAAAGCTCACCTTTTCCCCATGAGTACCCTATATTTTGGCTACATTAACCCTCAATATGCTTTTTTCTCCATCATTTTGTTTTGCATGCTTCCTTCTTCCTTATTTTGATCATGACATATTAGCACCCCTCTACGTGGGTGCTATAGTATTGGATCTCACTTGGGAGTACAAACTGCAAGGCTTTAAAACAAATACCAATTTCATTTTTTAAAAATAAAACTGTTACATTACCTTCAAATGCACTAAATCTCGAATGAAAGTTCCATTATGGAAGAAGACTTAAATATAAAAATTACAACAATACAATTTGAAGACACTTAATAAAAAAAACCACACACTTTTTCCAAAAGTGGAACAAATGAGAAAAGAGGAGCATATTTGTGTTCTTTTGGCAGTTTCCTTTTTAATCAAGCATGGAATTAAATTTTGTAGGGCGTGTATGGATGATGTGATGTATGTAACCATGTGAAACAGGACACGAGGTGGAAACTTTCAAAGGTGGCTGGCTTTGAATCATCACTTATCAGTCCCAAGATCATTTAATTGATTTGCACCTTGTAGATATTGATTTCCACACTACTCTGTAGAGTCATCATTTGTAAGTCGGACCTTCTACTTGGATTTTATTCTTTTAGGAACATAATAGTGAATAGGGCAGAAAAAACCCAGACTACAACTTCATATAGTGCTTAGGGTTGAAAATGCATATTAATTCTTGAAGTCCCATGTTTGGCGTAGATGTCAATGTTGATGGCCCTCATGGACTTTCATCTTTCCTTTGAAGATGGTCAAATTACAAAAGGAAGGTCTTTAAAGCAATGTTTTCGTTATACGGAGTATATGGTTTCGTTGGAATGTATGGATTGGACAGTCCTTCTATCATAAACTGTTATGACAATTGTTGATGACACATTGTCTTTAAGAAAATGACCATTGATGTATCTTTCACTATGAAAGATATATATTATCAATCATATATATATATATATATATATATATATATATATATATATATATATATATGCATCTACTCGTACATGATACAATTAGTTAGAAACTAAAATTTAACTGTCTTTGTAAACTCTGCAAATCACAGGCTCATAAGAATATAGGTGGCATGCCACCGGACAACTAAGATTGTGTCAAATTAAGCAATGTTTGTCGCAAGAGAAGGTTAGTTTATACTTGACGGATGTACACTTCACATTATCTTTTAACCAAAATAATAAAAACAATATTTAGCTCATGTCAAATATTTTTAATTGAATAATTAATTTCACATTTACCACTTTGTGACATAAATGTGGCACACATATTTCATGATCACATAAATAGTAAAAATCACATACCTATTGGACCTGACTTTGGGTTCTTGGCAAGTCTATCTGTGATACTAGAACCACCAAGGACATGGTTGCTCGAGGTATCAGATTGGTGTCTCCAACCATGCCAAACAGCTCATTCTGGCACCTTTTTTTTGTTTTGATAACAAGTGATTATCCTAAATTCGAACGAAAGAAGTTGATTTTTAAGTGTATATTTTCATATGCTAAGCTATAAGTTTAGAGAATCACTACTCTTTAGTGTTTGAAACACTACCAAATACTTTTGTTTTGTACCATTGCAATACTTAAATCAGAAGATTTATTAGGCTTACTGTCTTACCTTTTTTGGGCATGCTAGCTGGACATTTGATGGATATGTTTGATGTCTAAAAATCCCTGTCTTTATGCCAATTTTACTAAAATGCTAAAAAGCAGCAGTTAAAATTGAACTCTTTCAGTGCCATATGCCAGGTGGATCGATGAATGGTGGAAGAAGTTAGTTTACTGGCAAACTCAAACCGAGTGAGACCCAGACCCACAAGTTTCTGGGGGGTCTACACAAAACTTACATTCTTCAATATGACTACGTAAAAGAAAGGTAATTTGGTTTCTCAATGTACCAATTCATTTGATTTATTACTAAGCTATGTATATGAGAAATAAATGATTGTTGGTCATTGTGTTGATTTTCCCCAATTTGATATTGGAATATATGGGAACGAAGGAGTAGGTTTCACTTGACTTTTTCCGTGCTTTGGTAGTGGCGTATCTTCATGCTGATACAATAGTTTGTAAAGAGTATTGAAGATTTACAGTTTTCCACTTTAATTTGTGCTGCATTCTTGGCTAGAAGGGAAATCTGGGGAATGATCCTTTGGTGTTTGATGACCAAAGCAGGTCTGATATACTGCAATCCTTATTGGTTAGGAATAGAGTTTGCAATTTCGCTTTGTATTTCTTATCCATATGGATTTTGTAAGGGACTTTGCTTTCCACACTTCTATTTGAGCAGAGTGTTGGTTGATTAATGAAGATTGCCATGTTCCAAAAGAACTGCCTTCCAACGCAACGAGTGCACACACCTCAGGCCGTGTGAAGCACGAGGTAAAAAACTAGTGGTATATTTCATATAATGAAGTTAAATATTTTTCTCTTAGTAAATGTTTTTTTGAATAAATGACGTGTATAGAAGCTCTTATTTAGGCAAAAGCTAACATGATCCAAGACGTGGAGTCATGGAGCTCCTATCAGATTGTAGCCGGCTTGTGGAAGCTGTGTGGGAGAGGGGTGGTGTCCAGTTTCTTTCTTATCGCGAGACTTTAAGGGTCCGTTTGGTATACAGAATTGATGGAATTGGAATTGAATTGGAATTGAAATTCCATGAGATTCAATTCCATAGAATTGAATTCTGCCAATTTCAATTCATTTTTTGCACTATCAATTCTAAATCCACATAATTTTTGTGCTACCAAACACCATAATTGGAATTGAAGTCTTCAATTCCAATTCCATGGTTTGAATTCCATGTACCAAACGGGGCCTAATTGATGATTGTAAGGCTATTTTAGTTGAGTTTCGTTCTCTCATGGTTTCTCATATTCCTCGAAAAGCTAATATTATCCTTCATACACTTGCTCGTACAGTGGAGACCCCCGCCTTCCACATGGATTTCATCTCCCTTCGTTTCTCATTTATTGAGTTAGTAATGATATATTTTTTTCTTAAGAAAAACATATAAGTGTCTTTTTCAAAAATATTTTTTATTTTTTTAGAATACGGAATGTGTAATTTAGGTGTTACTTTTCAATTTTGTCCCCACTTTATTGTAGGGTAGGATAACATGCGATGAGTAAATTAATACTCCCTCCGTCCCCCTAAGATGTTCTCATTTTGACTTTTGGTGGTTTTTAAGGAGAGTTGAAAAAAGGTGAAAGTTTACCATAATACCCTTAATGAAAAATGGATGGAGTGTATTAAATTAGGTGGGTGAGGTGTAATAAATAAAGTAAGTGGGGGTAGTTGTGGTATTTTAATTGTTAAAATAGGTAATGAGAAAATCTATTGTGGATAAAGAAAAAGGGCTATTGGGAAGATTTATGGGGGACGGAGGGAGTAGTCAATAGTCAATATGTATATGATGCAATAAGTTGGTTAATATTTAGTAGGCCGGTAAAAGAAAGATTTTATTTGAAAATGTATAGAAGTATCTTTTGAGCTCGAAAGAAAAATGAAAATAGAAAATTTTTTCAAAGGTAGAGTTAAACAAAATTTTTCTTATTTTATTAAAAAATTACTTGAACCCCTATTAATTATAAACCTACCTATTACATTATATTTTTTTACTAATAATTTATATATCACATCCTATTTTTACTCATCACATCAAAGATATTCGAAAGTCAACACAAAAATATCTCTCCTTTAAATTTCTTAAAAATCAAAATGAAATCATCTTTTTAGGACAGAAAAAAATATTATATTGTCATCACACTGGCAAGATACTTATATCACTCTTATTTTGAATTTTTTTTCTCAACCCATCAATCAAATATTGGGCCACATCTTACCGACTACGAACTACCTTTCTTTTGGTCTTTAGAAAAAAAAGTGTGTTTTTGAAGTCCGTTTAAGTTACGGAGATTTCCTGTGTTTTTTTCTTTTAAAAAAGGAGACTTCCTAATTTGGAAAGTACTTTCACTTTAATAAGAAACATAACAAAAGAGAGAATATAATGTCACTTTTCTAAAATACGGGGAGCATTGGGAGTTTGTTGTTTTTCCAATAACTTCTAAATTAATCTTCTTTTTTCCTTTTGAAAAAACTTTTAGGGTCCGTTTGGTATACGAAATTGAATTGGAATTAAAATTCCATGAGATTCAATTCCATATAATTGAATTCACCAATTCTCATTCATTTTTTGCACTATCAATTCCAAATCCACATAATTTTTGTGCTACCAAACACTAGAATTGGAATTGAAGTCTTCAATTCCAATTTTATAGTTTGAATTCCGTGTACCAAACGGAGCCTTGACTCGCCTATTTTCTATCTCATGCATTATTTTTTACCACACAATTTTACTTTTCTCTCTCTGTCTTGCATCGCTCTTAACAACGAGTTTTACTTTCTTAAACTCCGTTCAATTTCAAACAAGATTAAATTGGGACGAAGGGACTTTTGTTTCACAAATTGGAAATTGTGGACTAAGACCCTGTTTGGCAATACCGATAGAATTTAGCGCTTTGAAAATATTATACTCCCTCCGTCCCCAATTTGATTACAAATTGCGGGTTACGGAGTAAAATTTCCTACTTTATGAAATCATTTTATTTACAAATTGGTATATCAATAAGATATATAAAATTACATATTAAAAAACTACGTCAAAAGTTCTACAAAACAAGAGGTGATAAGAATATTTTATTTTATCAAATACTTAATAAAATTGCGTGAACAAACAAAAGTTATCGAGAGGAGAGAAAAAAAAATTGTAATCTATTTAGGGACGGCGGGAGTAATACTTAATGATAGCTTTTAATCGTTTGTGTTTTAAAAATCAGTTTGCATAATTAAAATTTTATTCAAAATACTATAAGGGTCCGTTTGGTACACGGAATTGATGGAATTGGAATTGAAATTTCATGGGATTCAATTCCATAGAATTGATAGAATTGAATTCACCAATTCCAATTCATTTTTTGCACTACCAATTCCAAATTCACATAATTTTTGTGATACCAAACACGAGAATTAGAATCGAAGTCCTCAATTCCAATTCCATAGTTTGAATTCCGTGCACCAAACGGGGCCTAAGACTAATTGAAACGTTGTTCCCAAACGAAAGGCAAAGAATTTCTAAAGCATATGCTAAGTAATAACTTAAACCAAAGTCATGACATATTTAAAGGTGTTTTGTTTGCCAAAACCCAGACACAGCCGATTAGTAAAGAAAGACCGAAAACCTGATTGTCCTGCGTTGTGGAAATAACTTTTTCCTTTAAACCGTTAGTGCTCCTAGGTACATTTGACAATAATTTCACTCTTTAGTTTTATAATTTTAAAAAAAATCACAATGATTCTTATGACTTTGACATCTCCGATTATATTATGATCCGAGACACCTACACTGCTCTGTTGATTCTTTGCACAACCCCGTACCTTTAAACACTTTCTATTTTGACTTTGAGCCAAAATAAGGAAAATTGGTTGACTTTCCAATTTTGCCCCTGATGTGATGGGTAAAAGTAAGATGTGATACTTTGGTTATTAGTGAAAAAGTATGATGTGATAGCTAGGGTATGAAAACGTGGGGGTAAAAGTAATTTTTAAATAGAATGTTGAAGTGATTTAAGGAATTGGAAAACAACAAAAGATGAAGGATTTTATGGAACGGAGGGAGTATTAAATATTGAAATAATTGTACAACTCAAGAAACGATTAAAATACATGAGGGAGTATATAAATAGAGATGATTAAAACCTCAACTAAGAATATGAATTAATAACGAAAACCGATTAAAATATAAACACTACCATAATTAATACGTAGTACTATCATAAATGTCTAAAACTTTTATTTTTCAAAAAGAAAAAAAACTTTTACTTTAAATGATATTTTTAATAATTCTTTTTATTGTTTTATAAAGTTCGTGAGAAATTTATTCTAGAATACGTCAATTACCTTAATTTTGATATAACTAAAAAAATTGCCTAAATTTCGCTTTTAAAAGTATTATTACTATAATAATAATAATAATAATAATAATAATAATAATAATAATAATGTTTAGTAGAATGATATGCTTTTTCCTCTCTAACTACGAAAGTCTCTCACTTTGGAAGACCATAATTAGGGGACTAATTAAAGGCGTTCTGGAGTACTTAGAAGATGTTTGGGAATGCGTTGCTTTTAACAATTTAACTTCTGCTTTGAGTGGAAGTGATTTTACTCTGTTTGGCATGTCAGCTTCTGCTTTTCACCAACATTATTTTGTACATGAAACACCGTTTCGGAAAAGCAGGTATGAGATGCTTTTGCTTTCAGCTTTTGTAGAAATCACTTTATGCGTAAGCTAATCACTCCCAAACAACCTCTTACTTTAATAATTTAATTTATTGGTTCCCTTTTTTTATTTGCCTCTCCATTTTATATTGCGTGTATAAATGCTTGCTGTTAATTCTTAGGTTGACATTAACTAATTAGTTTCCCCCTAAGCTCATTAAGTATTAGTAATTAATTAAGGAGTAAACATGATGGGTTGCGGAAGGGTTGTTTTGTGTTCCTTATTTCTCTTGTCTCTTTCTATCTCACAAGTCTCTTCCAACTCAGAAGGTTTGCATTTTACCATGCTATATATCTCCATTTGTTTTTAACTCTCCGATATATTTGACTAATTATTTAAAAATATATAATGAAAATTCAATATTGAGTAGTGTAATTTAGTTCATTTTAAGATATAATGTTGATATAGCAATTTTAATAATATTTACATTTAAAAATATGTCTAGTTTGTTGTCAAAGAGTCTCATTGGTTGACTACTAAAAGACAGAGTAGAACAATAGTTATCAGTTATAACAGGAGGGAGTAGGTATGTATCATGTATGTACAGGGCCGGCCCGGAAATATGAAAATACGAGAGTGGCACTGTGCGAAAATCACTTGGTGGGCTCTTTTTTGTATTTCGCAAAGTACTTGTGCTTTAAAACTAGTGCTAAATTTGATTTTTAATAACCGCTTTTATACAATCTTAAAAATAAAATATAAATTTATATTATTTTTAAAAATATCAAGTAATTAGAATAGTAAACATCTAACTTTGCACATCCTCCGGGCTACCCATGCGTATGTACATCGTCGTCGTTTGCAGCGAAGATGCGTCTAGGAGAAAAAAACTGGATTTTTATTTATACCATGAGTCATAGAATCAATTCAATCGTACGCTCAAATTTATAGTTATTGGATGCCTCACACATACAGAACAATATTTTTATCCTCTAACATGACCTTTCATGTGCATGTGCATGTGAGGTCACGTTTGTGTTTGTTGGAACCTAGCTCTTGCACATTAACATTAGTTTTTTTTTTAAATAAAAAGTGAATAAAACTGATATTATTCAATTGCGTGATGCATGTAATCTCCATGTCAACGAGACTCAGTATGATATCAACAAATCAAGTACTACGTAAATCACAAGTTTGATCAAATTTATACTTCCTCTGTCCCATAAAAATGTTCTCACTTTGACTTTTAAGAAATTAAATTTTATAAAACAGGATCAATTAATAATAACTGGGTTATAACTCCCTTTTTTTGTGTGTGAGACAGGTAATATATTGTATGAACAAAAGCAGTTATTTGTTAACGATGCTAACAATTGTACAAACAATTGGGATCCAAACTCCGCTGACCCATGCACGTGGTCTGGTGTTACATGCAACAATGACGACCCAACTGTTACACAACTGTAAGATCCTATCATCTTGCAAAATGTTCCATTCATTCACAATTAGTTTTGATTAATTGTGTGTGTGTGTGTGTATAATTTATTCAAGTTTTGATTTTGTCCATTAATAATTTTGCTTCTAAAGAAATAAACGATACAGAAGTATAAATTAATTTTGAAAACGAGTATATAATGAGATATTGAGGTTTAATGTAATTATTCGTTAATGCTCTCATAAACATAACTATTTCATTAGTGGTTACGTTGTTGGTACACTTTTCAATATATATATATATATA